TGCTCCTAGCCGCTATCTTTCCGAACTTTGACTGGCGGTCATGGTTGCCGGTTGTGGGGGCGTGGACTCTGGGAGGACAGGGAATTGAAAAACAAAAACAGCTCATCCAGAGGAGGGCTGAGTAAGGAGATTTTCGTTTAAGGCTGTCTGCCTAATCTGTAAGGAATTTTTCTGCACAAATGGCAAAAAGATGCTGCGATGGCCTCATTGTTAATATCTTTTATTTTCAAATGTAGCATAATATGGAACCTTTAATAAAAAAGACAGCATTAAGGGTTGCAGAAAGCATCATAATTCGTGTGGTGCATTTACACCGAATGCATTTTGTGCGTAAAAATTCTTTAACACAGATAATTGGATGCTAGAAAAAACACTGATCTAGATGATCTGATGCTCTGCACTCTGGTAGTTTATTCCCTCTGTTCTTTCATTTCAAACTAGAGCAGCCTAGCTTACTTTACTTTGATGAGAAGAAAAAGTAGTCCTAATATTTTTTACGCTAAAAAAAGTCCACCTCAAAACATCATCTGTGCAGGCAGTTCATCAACATTATGATCCTACTAAAAGATTCAGTTGTTGTTCTGAGCGGCAGATCCCCCAGATACCAGGAGGTGACAGCGCTGGGCGTTCCCCAGTGAAAGCTCTCTGAAGCCGGATAGGCTGTTGGGGATTTCCCGCTACATTCGGAGCAGCTGGAAGTGACATGTTTTTAAGGTTTGTGGTAAAAAAAAAACTAGAATATAGAATGTAATAATTTTCTTTGGCAGGTTTAACATTTGTAGGTGATTTAGGTATTCATAAACTGTTTCGTCATAGTTCATAAAAAATGTTTTAGTGCAGTAAGAATTATCACAGCTCGCTCTCTTACAATCCTTTCTCCCTGCTTTTTTAAAACCTGTGGAGTTCAACCCCTTTATAATTATTTCTTTTTCATATAGGGACAACTCTGCAGAAGCGATCACGGCTTGCATATAGTATCTGTTTTTACCGCAAAACTCCCTAATTAGCTTTTTAAAATCAGTTGACACTATGCGTAAAGCTGAAAAGGTTCTGATTTCTAAACTCCAGCGTTGAAAGCTGGGAAGCTCCGAAACTGGTACGGCCAGATGCTCGGATGCGGCGTTACCCATGCTCACACGCGCTGCAGGACCTCTCAGTGCTGCTTGACGCCGTCCACCACAGACTTTGTATGTCAATCTTAAGCTTTGATGCCCAGGACACGTTAGGTGTGAAGGCACCTTAAGACTAACAAAGATATATTTGTCTAAGAATATTACTCGAGATGTAAATTCATACTTGAAGGGGACATTTGAGGACAAGAAAAACACATACTAAGTTCAAACATGGGTACCCTATAACAGTTTTTTTTTTAATCCTATACATTAAGAGATGCATTTAATTAACATCCCACCCTCTAAGAGCTAAAATAATCACTAAAAGTCTAAAATTGATGTGATACACATGGTGATACTGAATCTAATTATAAAACTGTCAAAAAACACCAGTAAAAACCACTTTTTTATGATATAGTCATTTTGACAATAATGGAAAAAAACAAACCAACTAGCCAGTTTAAATTGGCAATAACATGCTGTAACTTTGCCATGGAAAATCAAGAATAATAAACAAAACAATAAAAAAGTCACACCATGGAACAGTGACTTGATAAAAAAAAAAAAAGTGATTAAACTTGAGTTAATCATTGAGCCGCTATAATCCTCCATCAGACTAGGCTGGTCTACTGGCACCTCAATGAAAAGCTAACCCAGATTAGAACCTGTGAGGAACCACAGGAGACACATACATCAAAAGCTGATTAAAGCCGAGGAAATAAGTCAGAATGACAGCGCCACAGAAAGATAACCATTATGTTTAAGGGCTGAGTATCTGTGACTTTGAGGCTGACCTTGTGGGGCTGGTGCCCTATTGTGTACCAGGAGGCCACATAGAGACCGACTGATCTCCCTTGGGATCAATGAGACGTTTGAGATCAGCACTCAGAATAATCACACCGTTTTTTTTGCTGCTCAGCAGTGACATGAAATGAATTATCTCACAAAGCCATAACACTAATAGGGCTCACAGACGGCACTTTTTTATAAACAAACAGTGATATAGAAAATAAGGCTGTTTGCCTACCTACAGATCTTTTCAGTTTCTTTTATGCATATATTTGCGATAACCCAAATAAAATAACTGTAATTTTAAATTTCTCCCTTTGTTTCTCTTAAGTTTATTTAAATTTAGGCACAGAGATACCATAACATGCTAATTTTTTAGATATGTTGCCAAATCCATGCTCTCAGGTCCTGTTCTTTCTTTATTGTAGATTAAGTAATATGACCAAACGATTTGTTCTTAATGTGGGAAAAAAACGCTTCATCACATTTAAAACATAATTTTAATGTGAAAAATTCCTTTCCATGAAGTAAAATGTTGGTTTGTGGTGGGGAGGTGGCAGAGTTAGATCAAAAACTACCTTTTAAATGTCTATCATGTCTGAAAGAGAATGACTCTTCAACCATAAAGAACAAGATAACATGTCGTCTTCCGGTGGTTTGCCTTTTCAAAAGGGTGGGGTTGTGGGGGGGAACCAGACTTAGCCTGTGTAATGAGAAACTTGCCAGGCACCTCGGCCATAATATCTGTCTACAGTCTGCTCTGTAATACAGCAGATCCAAACCAGAAATATCAAGCTTGCATAACTAAGTTCCATACAAATTAAAGACAGCAAACGCACACAACCCTGTGATTAGCGGTAGGTGTTATTTTTGACCCCCCCAGCTGTCTTATCTTAATTCTATGTGTTTTTTGCTTTACAGGGTGGATAATTGCAGCTCTGGACCTCTTGCTGTGAGTGCTCACACTAAACATAAATAAACCCAGGACCATCGACAATTTTTATGACTGAACCTCCTTTTCTCGCACCCTCTTTTCAAGTAGAACTGTCTGGATGTATGCCTAGTAAACATACATCTATACATATGTGAGCTGAACTGTGGCCTTCGAGTATCATTTTCTGTTTTTTTAAAACATGAATGATACAAATTCTGAATTTAGAGTCTAACTCCAAAAGGGGGCACAAAGCAGAAGATAAAAAAACAGTGCTGGCTGTGCAGCCCAAAAATCCCCAGTGAAGCTTGTTCAAACGATAAATGGATGCAATAAAGGCAGCTACTCACTAGAGGTAAAATATTTGCAATCCAGCATTTTGTGCTCATAATTCACCTTTTTATGTATCTAACTGCAAAACAGAGATTAGAAACTGCACAAAAGCAACACACTTGAACAATAATCAAGGCCTCTCTCTAACTCTGTAGTAAGCTTTTTTTTAAATCAACAGATTTAAATAACATCTTAACACTGTCATTGACAATGATAAGAGAATTTTGTCTGAAAACTTCATGCCACTTAGTTAAGTTTTATTTGTTAGTTTAGAGACAATACTGACCAAAGAAAATCACAGCAATGGGACAGTAGGCAAAATATTCAACATATACATAAAAAAAGTTTTTTCCAGCTCTAATTTGTCTGATAAAAAGCAGCATGTTACTACACTGCAAAAACGATCTAGAAATAACTAAAAAATGTCTTAAATTAAGTGTATTCACCCTTAATTTGAGTAGGTAAATGAGATAGTTTGCCAATGGAATGAGTAATTTTATTCTTAAAATAAGATAATTAGATAATATGCACTTGAAATAAGACAATGCAATTGTGTTTTCTTATTTTAAGTGTAAATTGTCTTGTTCCATTGGCAAAATGTCCTTTTACCTCCTTAATTCAAGAACAAATGCACTTATTTGAAGAAAAATGACTTTTCTAGATTTAGATTTTTTGCAGTGTATGATATAGTAGTTCATTTAACTGTAGGATGTAGCAGTTTGGCGTGTCGATATGTTTATCCCAGTTGTATTAGCACCTTCATTTACCGCTATAATGCAACTCAAGAGGAGAAGCTGATTTCTGTATTTGCAGATCAAACTATCTCAATGTTTTCTGATCCAAAATGTTTTTTCTCTGAAACATCTAATGCCATTGTAGTGCTCAAGGTGACAGAAGCTTATATGATCAAACCACATAGAAACTGGCAGTTCTACAAACAAATGTTTTTTTTCCCATTTTTTAATCTTCAACTTTATCTATAGGGATAAACTGGTTGGAGATGGATGATATCAAATACTCACTATATAATAAATAAGTCGTTTTCCAGAGAAAAATAAAGGGGTGGGTGTCTTTTGAAAACTAAAAACTTGTATATATCTTGACCCAAGCTTGTTCCAGTTCAATTTTATATTTGACTAGGAATCCACAATATATGGTTTTTTACTTAACTAATAACAAATTTGTTCAAATATAATGCCCTAATGTGGTGTGTTGGATATAAGCAGAAGAAAAGGCAAATTCACAGAACTACAAAAAAAATGTCAGCACTGCAAAAATTTCTTCTCAAGGTCAAACTCTTGGCGAAACAATTGAAAAGATGACACACCACAAGAACAGGGCCTGGAGAAACAAAAGGCAAAGGCTACGAAAAAAAAGCAAATCCTCTTTGATGCACGTCTGAGAGGACAGATCAGCCGCCGTGGTCAGACTGAGACAGAGGGGTGTCGGGGCATAATTGAATTACAGTGACCCAATGACAGCACTGTAGGTGAGGTCATGTGGTGAATTAATTCTGTTCCTGACCTTCTTTATGGTGGGGGAGCTGCCCCCAGATCTCCAAAGGGTCCAGCAGGACAGACAGATCTCTCTGAATGTCTTTTTCCAGCCAAAACTGTCACTCAAACACACAGCAAGGCACAAAGATAGATTGATCTCAACTGCCACCTCTTCATATTTTAAGTTCAGGTGCCAGTGCTCTACCTATGCATGCATCAAACAATCCTTGTCTGTTTTCTGAAATCCCTTTGAAATCTGAAAGCAGAATAAAAGTCCCTCGTGCTTTTCCACTGTAAGGAAGCTGATGCAGGATGTCCCATGTGAAGGAGGTTACTTACTGTCTGCCAGAGAGGAGATCACCTTGGAGCCGAGCAGAAACAGCAGCAGCAACGCCCCTCTGTGCAGGAGGGGCCCTGCCAGGTGAATGCTAACCGCCATGCTCCTAGATGGCACTGCTCCCTCCTCAGTCCCCGCTGCTAGATGCGTCCCACTCTGACAGGATCAAAGACTAACACCTGAGAGAGCAAAGAAATGCAGAGCAGACATTAGTATTCAAACTCGCTGCATTTGCATAGATTTCAATGAGCAGCATAACACAGCTAGGCAGATATATCAAAAGCAAGTCGCTGAGCAGAACCAAACAGGAAAGGATTTAAGTATACATGTTTTAACAAAAAAAACAAACAGCAGCATACAACACTGGAGATCTTTGTTCGCGATCAACAAGGCATCGCATCCCCAAAACAAATCCTGCTTCAGGCAAGGGACAAAACAAGTAAAGTGAATATAAATACATAACAAGAGGCAGCGAGGCAGAACAACTTTACAAATGGAAAATGAAACACAAGATTCAAATGGAGAGGAAGAGGCTGGATCAGTTTCCTTCAGCCACCTTCCGTCTTAAAGCAGGGTTCAGTTAAAAACCCAAAGGACCTCCTAAAGACCAGTCCCAGGGGTCTACAGCCTTCCTAATGTCTCCCATTAGAGAAATTGAAATGGAACCATCCAGATGGTCTCAAATCTCACAGAGTGCAATGATCTCACTGAGTGATAACATGAGTTCATAAATAAACTTATAATACAATGGTTTTAGCCAAATTCATCCCTTTGCTAAATTTTGTACGCCTTTTGTATCTTCTAACAGGTTCCTTTCTACTTCCATCTCACACCTGTCAGTTAATAGTATCACACGCCTTTATGTACAATCAAAAAAGAACCTTTTCACACCACAGAAGCCCAGAAAAGGGTTCCTACAGCATAAGGCAAGTTAAATTCAAGACTTTTTAAGAGTTTTTAATGCCACTTGAAATAAAAATTTAAGACCAAATTCACAAGAAACACAAGAAAAATCCGCTTGCGACACCTTAACCCAATGGTTTATTTTAACATAAACCACTGCACTAATGTTTCAAATTTTGAAAAGCTTCCCATACAGGAAGAAAGCTAAAAGCACACAAATGACAGATATATTTTAACAAATATTTCACTGAATTCACAAACTTTGTTTTAGCAGGGAACAAAACAAATCAGTTTTAAAGCCACAAAATAACCAGTGCTAAGTCTTTTTTGCAGCTATTTTTTTTTTGTATCGTTTTCTTAGTATGTTTCATTTGTGGAGCCGTTGCAGAGACAAGGGTGGAATAAAACCGAGAAATACCGGCTGTTTCTCAGTAACTCGATTTTTACGATTTGTGTTTCGTGCTTCGCCTGTGACTCCACTGCCTTAATTCCCATCGTTCCCAGCTTGAATGACTTCTTGCATAAAAATCCACCAAGCCTCATGTATGTTCCCTGGTACTGGTTTTAGCCATGGAGAAAACTCTTGACTGGATAGCCAATTTTCGTTACATTTACACATGCTCAAATTTTCCAGACAAAAAGTTAATGGTGAATCTCCCAAATGTCCCGGACGCAACAACGCTTTTATTGGTTCCGCTATCGGGACAGAACCAATAATGGCGAGCCGATATTTTTTTTAAATAATAATAAAAAAAAAACCATTGTCAATTTTAACGTTTTATTTAGATTACAAAAAAAATCGTAATAAAAGCAATCCTATTTATGATGTTTTAAAAATTAAGGCCAACGAAAGACTGATTTAAGACATTTTAATACCAATTAAGGCCTTAGTTTTATTTTGAAGAATTTAATTCCTTTTAAGACTTTTTAAGGACCTGCAGGAACCCTGCAGAAGATATAGTAATTAGTCTTGTGCCGATGCCATTTTTTAGCTTCGATAACATTATCCATTACCTGGCTGTGCAGTATCGGCCGATTTCGATACCATCTGTTTGACATTGATGTGTGTGTGTATATATGAAAAACTTCATACTACTTGGATGTAAAATAATTGCCATCATGGCTTTGTCAAGCTGCTGTCTACCTTTGTGAAGCAAGAGAAAGACTAATACAAAGTAAATCCAAGAGAATCATTTATATAATCATTTGTTTTTGTTTTGATCCTCACCGGACTCAGAAAATACTTCAGTTATCCCTGGTTTACTGATAAAAACTCTAAATGACATCCTGCTGGAGTCAAACAGCATAAGCACAATACTATACATGCTAAGTAGACTTAGACAGATTTGTCATTTTGTATATACAAGTGTATACAATTTTGTTTAAAACAGCTCTAGACAATTTCTTTTTTTAGTGCAGGCTTAAAAACAGTAATAAATACAAAAAAAAAACATATTTTTTATTTTATTTTTTTCAAATAAAATAACTCATTTCACACAACTTTCAGCAGTCTAATAGCGGTGGGGGAAAAACTGTTCTGGAGTCTCTTCCCAGAGGGCAGCAGGGAGAACAGTCCATGGTGGGGGTGTGAGGGGTCATTTATGATGTTAGTAGATAATAGAACAACTGAAATATGGGTTTATGCAGAGTTCCCTAGAGGGTGCTAATGGGGTTTTAACAAGAAATGTCTGGTAATAGCAAGAACTGTTTTATACAAGAAAAGGTCAAGATAAAAAAAAAAAGGTGTAAAGGAGCAGCCCCTAATGGGGGCGAGTGCTACCATTGGTTGGTCACAAGTAGATATACCGTAAGCATACCACAATTTTAAAAAAGTAAAAAAAAGTAATACTGCAACTTTAAACTGTACAGGGTTAACATTTTCTGACAATGTGCAAATATCTTTAAGTTGGTAAAATAGCGTTAAGACAGAGCATGCTAAAAGTCTCCATTGCTAATTGAATGTTAATTGTAGTTGACTGAAAATGTAAAAACCTTATAGTAGCCTTGAGCCGGAACCATTCCTGGTGTTTAAACAATACATTTTTTCACAATAATCTCTTACATGACTTTGTTGGTCTTGTTACTAAATTATTAAAAGATAATCTAGGGGTGATGGGTGACGCTCCTTCATTTCTCAACTCATGACCATCTGAGTTTTCCAGAAAGAAGGAATGCCAAACTATTCTTTCTTATATATAATGAGAATTGTAACGACCCTCTTTGTGCAGGCTGACTGACAGAGGAGCAGAGGAACGTGTGGGAAGGGAAAGTACTGCCTAACTCTACCATTCATACAGCAACAAAAACTTAGGAAAGTCCATTCTCTCTTGTATCTAATTCAAAGGACTTATGGGAAATTTAGCCAAATGAATTATATTCAGAAATAAATCTTTGGCCTGGATTTTTTGTCAGAAAGTTAAAGTTTTTTTAATGACTAAGATTTGTTGGAAATTATGGCACACTAGTACCTAACTGCCCACCGAGCAAACACTGGTTGAAAAGACATTGAAAAGACGACATAATTTACATCCAAACAACATCTAAATTTGGTAAAAGAGCAAAAGTTGAAAAGTAGTAAAATGAAAACTGGGTTTTCAGCGTCTATTTAACATCTGTTATTGTTATGGGAAAAAGTCAGAGCAACTAAACGCAGCCCAATGTTCAACAACTATTTCTGGTCTAAATCCAGACTATCAAGGACCAGATTTAGCCGAAAAACCAAAGTCTAAATGGCATCTGCTGCTGAAATTAGAGGCCTCTATATCAGCCATAAAGGTCTGGCTGTTAAATAAGTTCTTAGCACAGACAAGAGAGACTTAACGGTAATCGGTTCTCTGGAATGGTTACACTCATCTCCAAACCTAATCCTAAAGTTTGACAACTATGTTGTAAAATCTATGGTTACCGTTAAGAACCTAGGAGTGTATTTTGATCCTGTGCTTACTTCTGAAAGCCTCATTTACAGGTGGTGACTAAGACCTTTTATCATCTCAGAAAAAAAAGCTAAAGCCTGTTTTGTCCTATTCGAGGTGACTTCAAGATCCAAGGCTTTAAATGGTCTTGCACCATCTTACCTCTTGGACCTTCTGCACATATATCTGTACTCACGTGCTTAGATTTCAAGGCACTTGCCTTTTCACAATCTCTAAAAACAAACAAACAAAAAAATTTGTGCAGGGGCGCCTTGTTTTTTCGTCCCCCTTTCCTGTGTATCCACCTTCCTTTGGACATCAGGCTGTCAGGTTCTGTGGATGTTACTAAAGCTAAGGTGATGACCCACTTGTTCATCCTTGTTCGTCCTTAATTCTACCTTATATTTGTTGTTTTAATCTGTATTTTTTAAGATGCCTCTTATCTCCTAGTACTGTTCAGCGTTTTGCATGAAGGCGCTTTAAACATTAAGTTCTTTTTATGGTTTAAAAAAAGAGAAATAACTAGATATTTGACCACTAATGTTTTATCTTTAAAGGGAATCAAATTTATTCTCAAACACTAAATTAACTAAGATAGGACCCTCCAGTTTAACTGTCTGTTACCATGATAAACAAAGTAAAGCAATCCTTTTGAAATGAGTTATCTACACCTCTAATGCCCACACTCTTGCCTGCAGCCACTTCTCACAAGTAGCTGCTGTATAATAATGTAAAGATCACAGCACAGCCAGAATAGAAGTCTCTTTAAATGGATTTAAAGCTGCCTGTCAAACCAATTTCAATAAAAAGGTAACCTAAAATGTATTAAAAAAAAAAAACTCTTTGATATCTTAAAACTTCAAACCTTACTTCCCTCTTCAGAAAAGGAATGAAAAACACTTTATATCTTTAGAAGAAGAAAAAAACTGTTCAACTTGAATATCTTGAGGCTTGCTGGGTGGCCAGTCAGCTTTATTCTATTCAGTTCAGTTAAATAAGTTAGAGTGTCAGGAGTATAATGCCTCCAGTATCTTGTAAAGAGAAAAAAAAACATTCCTCAGCCTGTGGAGGTCATTACTCATTTGGCTCCTTCAATGCTGGTAAGAAACAGAAAAATGCACACAACAGGCCACATCTCCAACGATGACCCCCCCTCTTTGTTAAACATTCACTGACGCAGGTAGTCTAGCAATAGCCTTTATCTTTTTTTCACTCATGCCACTTTTTAACCTATTTTCTCAAGGTAGTGGGGCAAAACCAAAGGCATGAATTATGGTTAGACAATAAGACAAAATGCAGCATATGAAATCAGCTGGTGCCTGACATCAACAGCCAACTCTACATCCTCTGCACAGGTATTCGCC